ATTCTAGAACTCGAAACTCCGCAGGAAGTAGGTAGAGAACATAAATAACCATCCAACGTTTCAGTTCTTTTTATCAGACCCTTTGAGGTTAAGGTTGAACCATCTTTTCTTTGATGACTTGTCCTTGGAATCTGAACTGCCATCTTCCCCTGGACTATCGGCTTTATAATCTTCACCAAGGACCTTACTGCTACTTCCGTTACTGAAATGCCCACTCCCACTGCCACTTAAATTAGCAACGGACCTTGCAACTGTGAACGAAGAGTGGATGCTGTCTCTTTGTTTCAGCATCTCATCGACCTTTACAAATGGTGGTACTTAATCAGCATGCAGGAACTATCAGATAATACAAGGAACAAAGTGAAGTAGCATCTAAAGTTCTAAACAAACAAGAGATGCATTAATGATAGCAAAATCAGGGAAAATATATTGTTGTAACACTTCCCAAAACACTAAATGAAAGACAAGCGACTTGTGTTGCAAAGAATTTGGACATACCATCTCAATACGAGGACATTTACGTAATATAATAATCGGAGAAGGGTCATATTTACCGCTGTATTATTGAAAATAAATCATATCTACCCTACGTTTCACTTTCTGAGTATTTAAGGGCCTACTGTTATACTTATTTTTGTATTTGCCCCCCATCCGTTAAGTGACCAGTCCCAACTTTAAAAAAGACACGTGGAGTGTCTAGAATCAATTTTACAGGACCCGGTTCATTTTATAAAAACCCAACCCCAAATAAAACATAACCCGACCCACCGATTCCCCTTAATGCTGTAGCTTTTTATTTACTCCTTCCATTTTGACAATTTAGAGAAATTAGTTGGTGACATATCTTTCCTCTCATACTCTACTCCGAATTCCAAACCAACAACCCACATCATACCAAGGTCGATATAACTCTAAGCTTTATCACATCCAACACCAATGGACTGCGAGTATCAATGATGGAAGGAGGTAAGCAAAGAACCCTCAACATTGTCCAAATTTTAATTTAAGTTTGGTCCAAAGCCAGTCCCAACTGAAAAAGCAGTTCAGATAACTGAAGAAGCTGTGATGGGGATGCAGGAGAGGGGATTTGATGCTAGTATTTCCAGTTTGCTTCATTCACTACATCAGCAACCAATATCAAAGCTAGTTAAAAAAGAATGTCTAAGCTAGTTTGAGCTGGTGGTACAAATTTACTTGTTACTTTCAAGCCAGTTAAGAATGCCTTCGCTGATTCAGAAAGCTGCTCTTTCTTTTGTTTCAGAACTCCTTCTAGCATGCTAAAGTAGTCTGAATATGCGTTTATAGTAACTATCCAATCTCTAAATAGAAGAAAATCTATATCTGGTGTTTAGTTCCTCATTATTATTGGCCTTCTTCTCTTCTGGCTTCTTCAGATATTCCAAGAGTAGTCAAATAGGAAATTACTTCAATGGCTGTGTCTAATTCGACCAAAAAAAAAATCATGAAAATAGGAAGGATAACGTAAAATCCCAGAAATTCTTCTAAGCTTTTTCATTTGTTCCTTTGACTAAGTGGGTAAATTGGTTTCGAAGGGTCGGGTTATGTCTTCTACTTGGGGTTGGGGTTGTATAAAATGAACTTGGTCCTTTAAAATTGATCCTAGGCACTCCATTTTTAAAGTTAGGACTGGTCACTTAATGGATGGGGGGCAAATATAAACATAAGTATAACGGTAGGCCTTTAAAAATTCAAAAAGTGAAATGGATGGTAGATATGACTAATTTTCAATAGTACAGGGGTAAATATGACCCCTTTCCATATAATAACTAAACCAAGAGACTTTTCAACAGAAAACTTACAGACTGCTTCTCTTGGCTGTATCTGTTGGTCACTTCCTGGAAATGTGCCAGTGCCTTTGAACATTAACATGGAAAGTAGAGCAATAAGGATATATGGAAGAATCAATGTCCAACAACAAATATTGTCTAGAAGTAGATTGACAACCTTTCTATATTCTACTTCAAACTGCCGAAGCTCATTTCGTTTCCTCAAAATATGAGCCTCAATATCCTTGAGCTTCAGAGTAGTATCCTCATATGACTTGGCACAGAGAGCCTCAATTGTATAAGTAGCAGGCTTGAAGAAATTATCTCCTGCAGAGAGATCAGACCAAAAGTCAGCCTTAAGGAATTTGGCATCGGAAAATCAATTGTTATTTGATAGTGTTTCTCACAGCAGAAAAAACAAAAGTATTCAACAGAATAAGTAGCTCCAACCATAAACAGCGAATATGTGAGTGCCAGCTTTAAGTTCTGAGACCTCACAAGGTTGAAGTCCCTCCAGCTTCTTAAAGAAAGCAGCTTCAGGGTCCTTAGCCATCGCTAACTACAATATTTCAAATTATTTATTGGCTCTGACGACAACACTGCATAATGAATTTGACCAACAGGGTGATATTCACATACCGCATTTACAGTTGAATCCATTCTATACACCTGAAAGTGCAAGAAATACATTCCTGCTGACGTCACTTTACCCGTTTTCTCACTATCTTCCTGCATACCGTGACAATTCATCAGATTTGATCAGTCAATTGCTTGGTTAGAATACACAAGGCATGCACGACATGTCCATCTAAAGTACAGTAGACTATCTCACAAATCACAGAAGTTTGAGGCATGCTTAGACCTTAAAATTGAGAAGAATTACTCCAAAGATAACTGTGAAAAACGCAAAGCCGATGTGCAGGCAAATTAGAGGTAATTACTGAGCATGTTGAGCTTATATATCTAAGATAAGGGATTACAGGTCCAATATCTGCTCTGTATAAGTGAGTTATACTTAATGTATATAGCAGCCTCACAGCTTATGCAGATTGCAGACCATGAAGAGCTTCAAAATCAGAAAATTTCAAAATTACACCTTAGAATGAGGTCTAGTTGTTATACCTTGGAATGAGGTCTAGTTTTCCAAAGCAGTCGATTGATACTGTCAATTATAAACTTCAGTTTACTGAGATCTTAAGAGGATACAGCCTCATCTATTACAGCTAACCCCTGACTATAACTTCCTATGACCGCATATAAGTCATGAGGCATATGCCTTAAAAGCTTAGCTAACAGAAAATCAAGTGGAAATTCAACCCAATCACCACTTACAGGAAAATAAAAAAGTTACTATTTCCATTTCTAGGACACAGTAAAAGAATTTAGAATCAGCTAGCAAAATATTTTTCTGAAAATTAGAATTGACTAACAAATTTTCTACTTCTGACAAATTTCATAAGCAACATTTTTTGTTAGCATTAGCAAAAGATATGAAAGGTGCATCACAACATGTTAGTTAAAACATTTTATTTCATCGGTAAATGCGGAGATGCACTTAATCATTACGATTATGCTGATCAAAGAAAGGAGTCTGGAGTTCATATTAAATATATATATATGTCATAAAGGACATGTATAAAGGAGCCAACGAACAGAGTGCGAGAACACTAGTAGGAGATATACAGGAGGATCTGATAACCGTGAATTTACACCAGGGATCGGCATTGAGCCTATACTTGTTTACCCTAGTTATGAATGAGCTAACAAACACAATACAAGATGAAGTCCCATGGTGCATGCTATTTGCCGACGAATTGTGCTAATTGACCAAAACCATCAATGGTTAAAGTAAGAGTTTTAAGATAACTAGAAGTAAAACTGAATATATGAACTGCAACTGTAGTCAGCATAAGAAGAGTGAAGTTGAGGTGAGACGGGATTGTGGTGCCTAAATGCAAAAATTTCAGATATTTCGGATCGCTGTTCCAAGAGAACAAATGATGAAGGAAGATGTTACACATTAGCAGCCTGATGAATCTGTAACTACAAACTTCAAATCACTCAGAACTCAGCATCAATGAAAAGTATCTCGAACTCGCAATGGAAACTGATAACTGTAAAATGCAGTACCTGCAAAGCCAGGCCATAACCCCCATTTGCATCTTGTTCAAAATAGAGCAGCTGAAATATACATAAAATTCAGTTTTAATATCTCAACCCATGGCAAAGAAGAAAAGACAAAAACATGAAGATATACATACACTGCTTACAAAGTACATGCAAGAATAGCTACCATTAATATTCTACAGATCTGGAAGTGTACCTTAAATTTGCTTTGAGCTGCTGAAGTAACTCTAACTACAAGCCCTGCCTCCGCTTGTTCACTGCTAATCGTTACACCAAAAAAATGGGCACTTTGCTTTTCAACCTGCAGTAAAACCAAACTAAAAACATCGATACAGCTGAAATATTGTCCTGCTAATTGAAAAAGGAAATCAAATGCTACCTTTCCGCTAAGTGATGTCCCAATTGGAAGAGGACGAATTGTGACAGTTCCATTCAAAGCTTCTTCANGGGGAAGCAACCACCTTTCAAAATCCATACATACATAGAAAAGAAATTGCAGAAAGAACACCCGCAAGAAATCCCAGCTACTGCAATACACAATGATACTAGTGGAAGATAACCAATGTCATCAAATTTATTAGTTTGAGTCTCTCTTTGACCTTGTCGAATTCTTCCTATAAGTTTTCCTATAGCTGACATATTACCACACCCCCACCCCCAAAAAAAGGCATATGTTCTGCTCTATAAGTCAAGGGCTCAAACATTAGCTACACATTTTTTATTGATTACACCAATCCCAAAGTAGTTGGGGTTGACTATATGAATCCTTCAGATCCATTCTGTTCTATTTAGATCTATTTCATTCCAATACTCAATTATTTGTCTTCTCAGAAAACTGAGAATCTCAATTACAATGATACTTTTTCTCTCCCGTGGCTAAAATAGTATCAATTCGCCTTTTTCTTTCCATGGTTGCTGTCGGCCATTGGCCTCTCCATCAATTGGACATTAAGAATGTTTTTCTTCACGGTGACCTTGAAGATGAAGTTTATATGGAGCAACCACCTGGTTTTGTTGCTCAGGGAGAGTCTAATGGCCTTGTATGTCGCTTGCGCCGGTCACTTTATGGTCTAAAGCAGTCTCCTCGAGCCTGGTTTGGTAAGTTAAGCACAGTTATCCAGGAGTTTGGCATGACACGTAGTGAAGCTCATCACTCTGTTTTTACCAGCATTATGCTTCAAATCTCTGTATTTATCTGATGGTCTATGTTGACGATGTTGTTATTACCGGCAATGATGAGGATGGTATTACTAAATTGAAGCAACATCTCTTTCAACACTTTCAGAATAAGGATCTGGGCAGATTAAAATATTTTCTGGGTATTGAGGCCACTCAGTCTAGCTCGAGTATTGTGATCTCATAACGGAAGTATGCCTTAGACATTCTTGAGGAGACAGGAATGACAGGTTGTAGACCTGTTGACACTCCGAGCGATTCGAATGCTAAGCTTCTACCAGGACAGGGGGAGCCGCTTAGCGATCTTGCAAGATATAGGCGGCTGGTTGGTAAATTAAATTACCTCATAGTAACTAGATCTGACATTTCCTTTCCTATGATTGTTGTAAATTAGTTTGTGGATTCTCTATGTGATAGTCACTCGGATGCAGTTGTCCGCATTCTTCGGTATGTAAAATCGGCTCCAAGCAAAGGGTTATTGTTTGAGGATCGAGGTCATGAACAAATCGTTGGATACTCAGATGTTGATCGGATAGGATCACCTTCTTATAGACGTTCCACGTCTGGATATTGTATTTTAGTAGGACGCAATTTGGTGTCTTGGAAGAGCAAGAAACAGAATGTGGTTGCTCGGTCTAGTGCAGAAGCAGAATATCGAGCAATGGCTATGGCGACATGTGAGCTAGTTTGGATCAAACAATTGCTCAAGGAGTTGAAATTTGGTGAAATAAGCAAGATGGAACTTATGTGCGATAATCAAGTTGCCCTTCATATTGCATTAATCCGATGTTCCATGAGAGAACTAAACACATAGAGATTGAATGTCACTTCTACAAAGTTTGTGAAGACGAATGATCAACTTGCAGATATTTTCACTAAATCCCTCACTGGTCCTCGTATTAGTTATATATGTAACAAGCTCGGTACATATAATTTGTATGCACCAGCTTGACAGGGAGTGTTTGTTAGTTAGTTGTTATGTAAATAAGCATAATCCTACATCGAATAGGAGTAAGGTAGGTATTGTGTATTATTATAAATAGTGGTTCTTGTATTATAGTTAATGTACATCAACAATATTTTCCGTGTATTAATTCTCACGGTCTTCGCTAAGTCCGATCGGAATCTTCTGTTTTCTTATTCTTCAGGGACACTAAGGCACTGCCGAGTTTCTAACTTTACCAATAGCGATCACAGTAACTCAAAACATATAAAAATTGACGTTTACTTCAAAAGTCATAACTCTAGTGATAAACCACCTTGCAAGAAAATTATGTACTTGACAGCGGACGAGGAACAAAATACCTCAAAACCTGCCATATCATATTGCCTCCTTTTTTCTGGATCAGATAGAACACTGTATGAGTATGCCACCTCCTTGAATAATTCTGAAGCTTCAGGATTGTTAGCATTCTTGTCCGGATGATACCTGCCAATAATATAGGTTGTGTACGGCTAATGTATAAGAGACTTTTATGTTTCTAAAATAGTTAATGTATAAGAGAATTTTCCGTCTTTATAAAATGCTTGTCATTCTCTAAAAAATCGAATAAAAGCTTAGCTAATGCATAGAGGCAATAAATCAATAAACTTCCCTACTCCTACACCATAAGCCATTTTTTCCTCTATAACCCAACCTAGCTTCCTATTACAATTAATTTTTCCATGTAAAAAATTCTAGGTTCCAAAGAAATAACTTCAATAAACTATTATACAAGCAAGTAGCAATCGTCTATCTGTTACCCAATTACCAAAACACTTCAACCGTGTTTACCAAATTTAATAAACTTTCATGCAACAACTACATTTTAGTCTCAACATGCTCAATATGTCCCATATAAATACTAACTAAACACATAGAAATACACCATATTTCAGTTTATGTACACCACATTTAAATACATATATGCAAAATTCCAACCACGGTAACTCAATTTATCAATCAACTGCACCTCAACACCACATTTAAGTGCATATGCAAAACCATGACAATGATAGTATAACTTCAAACAATCAACTAAGCCTCCATCCAAGACTAATGAGGGTTACATATATGAATACTTTAGATACTTTTTCTGCTCTATTCAAATCCATTTCATCCAATAACAAAGAATTTGTCCGTCTGCTCTATCCGAATCCATTTCATTCCAACACTAAATACTTTCAGGGGGCAGAGCTAGCATTCAGATTACAGGTTCGGCCAAATCCAGTAGCTTTGGTCCAAACCATGTATTTGTATTAAGAAATCCATTAGATATGTATCATTATTCAAAATGCAGTAACTTAAAAGGACAAGAATCCCGAACCCAGAAACTTCAAATTCTGGCTCCACCTCCTCTGAATACTTTGCCTGACCGATCCAATTGGACCCATTTCATTTCAATACCAAATATTTTGACAGACAACAATAACTACAAAACGAAATTCTATATAATAGGGGATGGGATGGGATTGACTTACTTGAGAGCAAGCTTTCTGTAAGCACTTTTAATCTCCTGATCAGATGAATCCCTTGTCACAGACAATACCTCATACGGGTCTCGCCTTATCGCCGGAGCCGATGACCCCTCCATTTTCGAACCAGACATTACTCCTTTCTAATCTCTATTTCTTCCTCTTAAGAAAAACCCAAATCACTATCTGATTTCAATTGTGTATCATTCAAATAGCTTTCTTGTCAGCAAATACACAGGCAGAAGAAACTTATACACACAAAACCATAAAAATTCTTTCTTTTTTTGGGAAGTCACAAAACTATCAAAATTTGAGAGGCAATTGAGGGGAATTATGAAGATTTTTCACGGAATTCAAAGAATTGGATCGTCTTTTCATTTCCTTGGGATTAATGCTATGTGTTCAATAAAAATTGAAAAAAATAATGGGAATAGCTATAAGAGATCTAACAGAAAGATTTTAAATTTATAAATAATATTGGAAAAGAAAGAAAACTAGGGCTTTTGGGAAATTTACAGGATGCAAAAGATGTGTGTGCGTGTGTGAGAGAGAGAAAAGACGGAGTTCAGATTTGAATTGGAAAAGGATTTCTTTGAAAAGGAAATTGAATGAAAGGCAAAATTGGTCGAAACCTCTCTTTTAAAAGGAGCAGAATTGGGACTTGCCCGGAACTTGCCGTGGGGCGTAGCATTTGTAAAAAGCCCTTGGGCTTATGTGTGAGGCTTATAGCCCGTTTGGCCAAACTGTAAAAATCAGCTTATTTTAAAAAGTGCTTTTTTCCAAAAGTGCTTTTCTCAAAAGTACTTTTGGTGAGAAGCAGTTTGTGTGTGGCTAATTAGTTTGAAAAGCACTTCTGAGCAGCAATTAGTGTTTGGTCAAGCTTTAAAAAATTGCTTCTAAGTGCATTTTTCTAAAAAGTGTTTCTCAAAAAAGTGCTTTTGGAGAGAAGCTACTTTTTTCTTCTTCTCCAAAACTGCTTCTGCTTCTCCTGAAAAGCACTTTTTTTTCCTTCCAAAAGCTTGGCCAAACACCTCAATTTTTGGCCAAAAGTGCTTTTGGCCAAAAAAAAGCACTTTTGGCCAAAAAAAAGCTTAGCCAAACAGGCTATTAGTTCCGTAAGACTTACGCCTCGGCCGTCGGGGCTTACGCTTTAGACACGCCCAACTCCCGACGTACTGGGCTCGCCTAATAGAACTTTATGCAATTGTGTGTATCTAACCTTGTAAATCCTCAAATTTTCTTAATAAATCGTTGACTAATCAAAATTATTTTTTTCTTAATCATAAATCATTAAGTTGAGAGTATTTTATGTCATAATTAAGATAAAAATTATTGCACGATATCCACTGAGACTGCTATGATAGTAAATTTTAAATAACTCTTTAATTTAAAAGTATTTATTTATTAACTTTTGTTATGTCTTTATTATGTAATAGTCTATAATTTTTTTTATAATTGTTTTCCTAGATATTATTTTTTTCACGTTTACGAGATACAATACTTATTAATTTAATGCTCAGTATTAGCTAGTAACTATTTATAAATAATTAGTTATCATGGTATAGTATGGTAAATTATGTGTCACTTTATTAACTTATTGAAACCTAAAAATAAATGATGCTAGAGAATTATATTTAAGTTGTGAATTATGTTTTTATATAAATTCTCTTTCAAATAGAAAGCATATTAAATAAAAGAAGTATTTTAAAAAATATCAAATTATAATATCGAAACTCTTTCAAGATTCATTACTCCTTAAGAGATATATATAAGATTTCGCATCGAATACATTACTTTTGATGTTTGAGTTGTAACGACATTGCAGCTAATTTGCATATTATGATATATGTCATAATTTTTGTATTATTCATAGTTGAATTATAATTTATAAATATTTTAAATAATATCCGTGGGACTTACGCCCCATGTCTCAGGGCTTACGCCTCGCCTCATCAGAGATAAAACGCCTCACGCCCCCGCCTTTTAAAACATTGGTCGAAACTAATTGTATTTACTATTTCAAAAGTGTAAAAATATGAGTCCGGAACCAAAATGTGATTCATTTTGACTCAAGTGACAGAAATGTGTGGAAAAAAAAAAAGAGGTACCAAAATATATATATAGCATCTTTTGTAAAACGCTATATTAAAAGAAAACTTCTTAAACTGAACCGAGTCATATGTATTTCAAAGAACTTTTGAATAAACATTACAACATCCATTTAAAAAATGTTTCGATCCATATCTTGGAAAAAATATGCTAGGTTGCTACACTGACTTGAGTGATGACAAGTGGTATGGTGTTCTCCGTACCTTGGAAAATCAACCTATCAATATACACACTGATCTCAAAGTCGCAGGGCCCATTATTGAGGGCGAAGCGCATTCTACAAATCCTGAAGGTATGCGAATTTGGGGCGAAAAACTACAATGGATTCCCCTTTACTCAAACAGTGTGATTACGAAGTACTGTGTCGCTGGCATGGGCTTGTTGTGCCACAAGCACTGTCTGCATCCTTCCAAACAAACACACACAAAGATGAACCAGAAGTGATTAGGCATCTGATGAAGGAGATTTTAGAGATGGAAAAGGCACTTGCTGTTCATCATGCAATGGATGATCTTAACTTCTTGAGAGGAAAGGAGGATCAGTACTGGGATTTATTAGAAAATTAAATTGCATAGAGACAATGATTATCCTGTTTTCCCAACAGTTGTCGAGTGGAAGGGACTACCTACGTTTCTACCACAGACGTTGGACGTAGGAGTCCCATATTGTTGTAGAAATCAGGCAAGTGATCTTCTTGATGATAGCGATGAAATGCGAGAAATGTGTGTCAACTGGGGCCTAGATAACGATGCCCTCGGTTCCCAAGGGTACATACACGATGTTGATGAAGAAGTTGAAGACAGTGACAATGAAATAGTGTCAGGCCGCGATGATAATGGCGAATGATAATTTTTTTGATTGTTTAAATGGGTTTATGTAAGATTGTTGTACTGAAGTATTAATGTTAAATATCAATAAGATTTAACAGCAATGGAAACATAATTGTATTCATACATTCTTCAAGATAAACAAGTACATACACTTATTACAACCACATTACAAACAAGATAAACAAAACACTACGTGTATCCTTGATAGTTGGGCATATTATATGAACTTCCACCAGGAGCTGGATTACCACCGCCACCCAATCCAGCTGAAGGACATTTACGACGGTCGTGTCCTGTTTGCGAGCATATGCCACATTACGCGCATAAACGGTATCACCAACATCCATTTGGTTCCGTATACGCGTTCTTTTTTTGTACTTGTAGCTTGCGCAAATAGTCCTTGTTACACACCATTTTAAATGGTTCCGACGACCAATAATGCTCAGCACCCACTGGCTGGAACTGCCCACTATATGTATTTAAGTATGCAGCAACACTGTATTGCTTATCAACATAGTTGGTTGGTCCTAAACCTGTATGTTGAAAGCACTTGATGGCATGTAAGAACGGCATGTGGTATATGGACCATTTCCCACAAGAACATAACTTGTTGGCTTCATTTATGGTGTGTATATTATTCTCCCGGTTTTGATGGATAGCGGTGCGAACTTCAAAAATATTCTGCTCATCGCAATACTGTAAAAATGAATGCCAATGTGCTCGCCTCCTGTATTTCTCAAATCTTTTCATTGGTATTGGCATAAATTCAGCACCCCTCTCCATCAATTCTGATGCACCTCTATGCCTTTCAACAAACCTTTCCGGCATCTATTTGAATGACATTCGCACCATGGCAGTGATAGGCAATCCACGTGCAGACTTCAATAACACGTTGAAAGACTCTGACATATTTGTAGTCAGGTTTCCCCATCGCCTGCCACCATCTGCATGCAATGTCCACTTGTGAAGCTCATGTCGCATCAACCAATGATAGGCTCTTTCATCTTCCTGCCGGATCGATTCCATGCGCCTTCTGTTTTTGCACTCCTGGTGATCAGTTGCAGCCATCCACATTAAATCATGCAACTCCTTATTGGGATATTTCTTCTGGAAATTAGCCTTCAGGTGCCTCGCACAGTAACGGTGGTATGCATACGGTTCCTTCCATTCAGGCAAATGCTCTACAGAACTTAATATACCCCCATGCCAATCAGATATTAGACAAATACCTGAACGTTGTTTGACGACGTGCTCCTTCAAGTGGTTCAAAAATAACGTCCACGTCTCTTAGCTTTCATTGGAACAAATGGCAAAAGCTAGGGAAAATATTTGTCCATTGGCATCTACTGCAACGGCGATCAACAGCTTAATATCATACTTTCCATAGACATGAGTACCGTCTATGGATATTACCGGGCGGCAATGCACAAAACCATCAATTGCTGGTTTAAATGCCCAGAACACGTATCTGAATATATATTCTGGTATTCCTGTACTCCACTCAAGCTTCCATTCAACAATAGTCCCGGTGTTAAAGTGTTGCAATGCGGCCATGTATCTGGGTAGAGATGCAAATGACTTATCCCAGTCACTATAAACAATTTCAAATGCACATTTGCGCACGAGATATGCCTTTCTTTTAGTAATAGTACACCCATATTCTTGGTGGATGGATGTAATATACTCTTTGATCTTGTACCTTATGGACACTTCAATGTGTGGAATCAAGAGAAGAGAAATCAAATCAACATCCAAGTTGAAGTGATTCCCACTAAATGTGTCCATTTCACAATTGTGGGTGCTAATGTATTTACCCACTTTTCACAAATTTGTTTTCTTCTTTATCGCACGCAGCATCCAGTTACAACCCGTAAACCATCTACGGCAAACAACCTTGTATACATCCAGAGATGACTCCCATACGATCATCTCACGACACTCTTTTACGCTGTACATTTTCACCGCCCTGCTTAGGCGCGCCTTATCAGTAAAAAGCATGCCCTTTGACAGCACCGTTGGTCTAAATTCATCCCACATTGCTGTCCGAATTTCGTCAATATCCCTCGTGAGGGCACTATATCCGGTGTACTTCGAAAATATGTGACGACTCGGCCCGTCGTCACGTGAGTTACCGCCTCGTTTTCACCATATTATGTTTCTCTATGCTTCATTATCGGTATTTGAGGTAATCGAGTTAGATTGGGTTGGTTGTGGTAGGAAATGAGATATTTAGTCTCTTTAAGGAAAGCTTGTTTTGGAAAAAGTCAACCGGAAGTTGACTAGTTAGTTAGAGGGCTCGGATGTGATTTCTGGTGATTCGGTTAGCTTCGGGGGATGATTTGTGACTTAGGAGCGTGATCGGAATTGGTTTTGGAGGTCCGGTGTAGAATTAGGCTTGAATTGGCGAAGTTAGTATTTTGGCAAATTCCGGTTGGTAGGTGAGATTTTGATCCGAGGGTCGGAATGGGATTCCGAGAGTTGCAGTAGCCCCGTTAGGTGATTTTGGATGTGTGCGCAAAATTTCAGGTCATTTGGAGATGTTTTGGTCGGGTTTTTGATCGAATGCGTATTGCGGAAGTTTTGAAGAAACTTAGGCTTGAATTCGATGTGATTTGATGGTTTTAGCGTTGTTTATTTTGAGGATTGGAACAAGTTTGAATAATGTTTTAAGATG